TWKKWTWTKWYAKTATTATTGACCATCATCAATCGCTGTCTGGCCATTCCGACCAATCAACAGGCTCCAAGAGCTTTGTCTCTGACATCTGGTCKGTATGTTTCGTCTGCATTGAAAATGACGTCGGGCCTGTTACCGCTATCGTGCATTATATCTATTACGGTRCGATACGTAATCGGTTCGAGACAGCATGATTGGTCCCATTGATTCGCCGATTCCACAGCYTCCACCCGTTTTCGCAAGAAAGGCCGTCTCCGAGTGGCCGMTTTGGATTGGATGCAATCATCAAATAATATATTTCTACTGAGGTACTACATGAACAATCACCACCCGTGTCACCTTTCATGTTATTTCGATCGAACAATGCCTTTCACTGAATCTTGCTTTCGAAGTGCTGGTATCTGATTGGCCGTTTGTTCAATTCAGGTCCACCGAAGAAAGAAATTCTTCACCGGACCATAGACTGGTACATAAGCTCCCATCCATGCTGCCTACGCATGCGGTCAATACGAATTCCTTCAGTACGTAKCGGTCGTAGTACCGCTYATTCAGCGAATGATTCATTCGGTTTTGGATCGATTGAGTCGTACCASTACGGCTTTGTACGGTACCGAASGTGCCGAGGATTTTTAGKKAGACGGTGATGTCACCGCAACGGCAATTTTGATGGACCCTGMTGCGCGCCATGATTTTATTGGATTGGTTGAACCCTATCGTTCCGTGTCAAAACACCAAAAAGAACAAGGTCATTGCTACGTCATCAACGTACGACCGTACATTTTTTACGAGTTGAAGACAAAGACATGCACCGCGTATGGAAAGAACACAGTGAATCTAGAATTCATTCCCGAAAATCGAATCATCAATCAAAATCAACACCGAGTTTCAGCGACACCATTACACGAGGAATACACGGACCGCACGGCGGTTGTGATTTTGATGCGAAAGTTCTGGTGCTCGTGATTCTTGTTCGAACCAAGGAAGCAAAATTACGTTCAAAATAATCATCGGTTCCGCTTGCCCCTCCATCATCTTGTTCCTTGACCCCTTTCCGTACTTTTATGAAATGACGTTATGAGAATTTAATCGAATAAATTATCGGTTCAGGCATCGTTCTCATCCTTCCACTCTCACAGAATACGATAAATAGTTGCGTAGGCTTTTTCGCATTCTCGCTCCACAAAGCAAACAGTGACCAGCAACCAGTGCCCCCCTCTCACCCCACCCACCGAAAACTCGAAATACAACACTACCCCTTGCACCGATCCGTTGTGTATTACTACTACTACTACTACTAGCAGGAATCCAAACCATGTTCGCTGTATCCCTTCCWKCCGAGGCCAACGGCAATGGTAAGCAAAACAACAAGGTATCCATTATCGATATGATGAACGCGAAGTACTCCATGAGCAATGCTCCGGGCAAGTCATCTTCGTCTTCCACCGGCACCGCGCGAAGCCGAAGCAGCAGCATCTCCTCCACGGTAACCCTGGACGAGCGGGACGCGGCACGGGCAATGCTCGGGATTTCCCCCTGTTCCGTGGCGGACAGCAGCATCATGGGCGGCAGGGGAGCCTCGGACGGACTCGGGAAAYCGCGGCAACCGARGGCGGGCCGGAGCCCAGGCAGCGCGGKAGYGGGTCATTCTTCTCGTCGGAAGCACCTCCAACAGGCAACGGGAGCCGAATCCGGTGCGGGAGGCCTGGGATCCTTCCTTGCTCCAGCAACAACGGCTTCCGCTTGTTTTRATCCCTCCCGCACCGGGAACGACGCCGCTCCGTCGATGGTTGGTGGAAGGCGTCCGCGATCGAACTCGGCCGGACTCGATGCGCTGGCCTTTTTGGCAACMCAGGAGCAAGAGGCTTCTACTGTTACCACGGCAACGAGGATACCATCGAACAARGAGGTCACGGTACCCTATTCCGAGGTATCCCTCGTCCCCAAACCGGCAGTGACTTCTTCGGACGACGATGACTCGGAGATCATGCCGCCTCCTCCTCCCCGAACCACAACGGGGAGCCTCCGGAGACGCCGAAGCGTCTCGAACCCGGAAGGAATGGGGGACAAGTGGGGGCTTCCGCCCGGCCTGGCACCGCGAAAATCGTCGACGACCACCGTGAGGAGACTGCGGCTGGTGCTTCCSCTGTCCATTCTCGAGGAAGAAATGACCGAGGCGGATGCGGCGGTCCTCGCGAAGCAAAAGTCGACGGCCTCGGCGTCCGCCCTGGCGGCGTCTCTCCTGCGCAGCGATGCGGCGAACCATCACCGCGTGATGAATCTCCACAGAGAGCAGCTCCCGAAACTGGTGGAGGAAGAAGAAGCGGAGGACGGCGGAAACAGCGAAGAGGACGAGGAGAACCTCGACCACGGCGAATTGCTTCGCCGCGCGAGATCKCGTCTATTGGAAGACYTGAGTCAATCCAACCTCAGCGGGGCAAAGGGGGGCTTGACGCTTCCCCATTCGCTTAGGAAATACAAAGAGGTACGTGCCCGGAGCATTGTGTGATGGGGTGGGGTGGMGCTGAGCTGAGCTGAGCTTGGCACACGGGGAGGTTGGTACARTACTTGGCACAAACCCATGTTCTCACCGATGCCTTGTTTCAAACTGCTTGGCCTTTTGGTGCTAGGTGTACAACAAGAACGGCCGCATCGGAATCTATACACCGGCAGAACGAGCGGCGATCATTGCCAGATATCAGAGCAAAAAGACCCGCCGGGTGTGGAACAAAAAGATCCGATACAACTGCCGCAAGAATCTTGCCGATAGGCGATTGCGAGTCAAGGGACGCTTTGTCAAGAGATCCGTAACGGAAACACCAAAACCTCCATCCGCCGAAGACGCCAACGCGGTCCAAACCAGGAACGCGCCGGCCGCCAATGCCGCYCCTTCTCTGGTGRCGTCCTCCATCCCAGAAGAATCCGAGATCGTTGCCGACTCGGAAATGCCGGACGTCAGCGAYCCCGATGCAGGATTCTGTCCGACCGACGCACAGCCCTATCGCCGGCTCCGCCGCCACACCATCACTTGAGGTGAGAATCTGCCAGAAGCAACGGGATGCAAGACACAATGCAACACTGGTATGTACCACTGCACATACCAGACACGATTTTTGGATCTGCCACCCTGTACACAAACATGGACTCCTGCCTCTTTTCGTATCATAGAACAGCGTGGTTTCCTCGCACGATCCTGCACAAGACACGATCGTCAGCTCACGAAACCAAATTGCGAYACAGCGCTATGCAACGCCGATGTACTTTCCTAGCCTTTCCGTCCATCCAACAGCTACCAAGAAACCATACAATCCAAGCTATTGCTAAAATCAGATACTTGTATTTCCAAGTACGTTTTCTTCAACTAAAACCGTAGAGTCCTTTTTTTACTTGGAAAAACCGAATTAATACCATATTTGAAAAGAGTCATGCTCGGAAAGCTTTTCAATCGCTATCCGTATCGGTAGTATTTGTATTCGATGCCTCCAACCTTAGGGCAATGATCTGCTTCAAGCGTTCCTGCGACGAGAGGTTCCTCAGGAGACCCGCYAGTTTGAGCATCCGGACGCCCTTTTGCTGCTGCTGGTGTTCCTGCCAGGCTTCGATGTCCTGGGCCAGAATCGTCAGCGCGCCAATGTTTCCGGGGACGGACATGGTGTTCAGGGGCGGGTAGAATTCTTCCAGCAGCATCCGCTGGACCTCGGGCCGGAGCACGGGGCGGAGATACAAGCCGGAGTGCCGGCCCTTGCCCGTAATGATCATCATGTTCCCGCCGCTGCCGCCGCCGGAGGCAGATTTCTCTTCGTCGGCCAGCGTTGCGGCCTGCTGTCTCATGGCGATGCGAACCACCGAGTGGGCGAGGGCAACGTTCAGGCCGTGGAGGTCGACCACGAACTGGTCCTGCTCTCTTACAAAGTCAAAGGGGAGGTATCCGTCCTGGATCCCCGCCATGAACATCTCGTCCGCGTCGTCGTACAGCCCGTTGTTGTGGARGGCGGTCACGGTGCCCACGTACAACATTTTTTCGTAGGTCATGCCGCCGTTGTTGTCGTCTCTGGCGTTCTGGATGGAGCACCTCGCCAGGTCGTCCCGCAGGCAGGCCGACATTAGCTTCCCGATTTCTTCGATGCAACCCTTCGACGCCAGGGCACGAATTGCCGAGAGCACGGATTCCACCCGGGGCTGTCTCCCACTCCATTCGATCCAGTCTTCGATRACGCGGTAGGCCCAGGCGTATTGCGAATGCGATTCCAGAGATCTGGTCACGGTGTACAAGGCCTGCGACAGCTGGTTGTATTTTTCGTTCCCGGAGCTGCTGTTCTGGTGGTTGGTTCCGTGTCGATCCAGGTTCGTTCGTTCTACGTACGGACGGAGATATTGCAGCGTGTTGAAGCATACCTTCCACTGTCCGGATTTGGAAGCGGCTTGTATCAACGATATCCAATCGTTTGGTTGCATGCCCACGTYGGTCTTGGAAGAAAGCGAGTCCGTGGCGCCGCGAAGATTGCGAAAAATGTCGTCTTCGTCGGAAGGAATCGCAGCAAACTTTGGTACCGGCGCTGCCTCTTGGTTGTCGACCTGGTTTCTTGCCCGAACCTTCTTGTTGAGCTCCTGTATATCACTCGTGTAGTGAAGAGCCGCGTGCACATTTCCCTGCTTTGCACACTCTCGAAGAATGTGGCTGTGCGTGCCTCGAATTGTTTGGATGACACGGGGACTGATGGTGACAGTGGATCCATCTTCTTCCGGGGTCAAGAGATTTTTGTGGATGGAACGCAGTAAGGTACGGCACAAGGTCCATTGGCCGGTTGCAGCACACGCCCGTGCCACTCTGCCCAGCGTGCTCGATCGCGGACGCGCCAGGGCCGTAACAATCTTGTAGGCACTRGACGCACAAGAAAGGCACGCCGACAACTGTTTTTCTTCGCTCAATTTCTTCTGTTTTTTCTCCCTTGCAATGGTATCCATAGCAGACTGTGCATACGCCAGAGCAAAGCCTTCCATGCAGCTTGTTGTGGGATTGAATCCTTTTGCCCTCATCATTGATAAGATGGTGTAAGCATTTCCGAACTCGTTTTCTCTGAGACAAATTTTAATGGCTTCGGTATAGTGGGAATCAACCATTGTAGGCATCTTGTTCACGACACCGATGTTTTCAAAGAGCCCGACAGAAACCAAGAGATCGTTGTGAGTCGGCGATTCTGCATCCAGAACTTCATCATCGATTTCTTCCTTCAATTGAATCAGGTTCTCGAGAGACTTTCCGTTCCCTTTTTTGCCGACAGCGTAAATCAAAGCGGTAAAYGTTTCGCTTGTCATCTCGACATTATTCTCAAACATCAGCATTAGGGCATGTTTGAATGCTTCGAAATCTCCCCTCGCTGTTAGGCTGTGCAGCCCGACATTGAATACCTCCGTCATTGGATTCTCGTCAGCACCTTTTGATTTTCGATTTCTCATRGCGGAGTCGCGGAGACATTCGTKCAAAATCTCCATAATCTCGTTCGCCTGGAGGGTGAAATCGATTGCGTTGCGGTACGTTATGCTATCGCGAGCTATGCCGTCTTTTTTCATTTGATCGATTATTGAYAATGCGCTTGTTGTSGTGGGTTCSGTAAGGTYCAACGAAGATTTGTAGGGAAAGGTCCCAATACCCAATACAGTATTGTAGGTAATTGTGTCCGGTTTTGTGTCCAGACCGTGATACTCATGATCGTTCTTCATCTGATTTAGGAGCGAGAGCGCAACCTCTGTTCTCTTGTTTTGDTTCATTTCCGTATTCTTTTGGTCCCACTTTTTCTTCATCTGCTTGTTCGTCCATTTYCCCATAATYGGTTGGGAGTTGCTATTTTCTTTGTTGTCAAGGGACAGAAGAGCGGTATTATACACCCATGTGTTTGGTGGAGGGGTAATCTGAATGTCTCTGGTATCATTGTCTCTCGATGYAGTATCGRCGTCGTTTACAGCGGTTTCGGTGCAATAATCTCTTCTCATTTCTTCCAACAAGTTGAGGGCGGTCTTGTGATCTTTCTCTCGGGCGCATGCCTTGATAGCAGCCGAGTACGAATACTGATTCGGATGTGGGAGTTTTGGGTTCGATTTCATTTGATCTAGGAAACGAACCGCTAGGTTGCTGCTGCGGTTTTCTTTCTCATCGTACGCTACCGTAATCGATYCCGTCGATGGYACGGTACTCGTCGTGGCAGTCGCKCGCCCCATCGCCTTGATGGCCAGAGTGCACGTCACCGCATCGGGGAAGACATCGTGTTGAATCATGTCGTCCAGAATAGCCATTGTGAGCTCTGGTCCGTTTTTGTGGCGCCTTGCTGAGTTGTTCTGGCCGCTGCACAGGTCCTGAGCCTTGTCTTGGAGCTTCAAGAGCGAGCTGTATACGTAATTGTTCCTCCATTGTATGTTTCGTCCCCTCGAATTGTTGGCAGGTTCGTCCTCGGGGAGGGTGCGAAGCAACTCTACGGCTGCGTTCCATTGCCAGCACGTCGAAAATGTCAGCGATTCTATCTTCGTCCTGAGTGATTTCGGTGTGKTTCGTGCTACCGCAGCAGCTTCTGGTGTTGTATCTCTGTATTTCATTCCCGAGGCAAAGTCAACGGGATCGCACATCTTTTGACTCGGTGATACCGAATCGGCAAGAACAGACAGCAGTATGCTTARCGTATACGCATCGGGYTGGATTGATACAATCGCGGCAGATGATTTTTGCCGGTGTGGCGTGCAATATTGGTGATATGTGTCTATGCATGCCCTGGACTTGCCCAGAGCTGCCATGGACTTGAGGTATGTATTGAGTTCAAACGCCGTTGGCGGACTTGCCAAAAACAAGGGCAGCTTCGAGGCTTCTGTGAACGGTTTGTCCTTGTGRTTGCCGAACATGCTATTCCACACCGATTTGAGCTTGGTGGCATTCGCAGTGGTCTGYGACAGGGCGTTCAGGGCCTCCCCAAAAATCCTGGTGGTGAGCACCGGCTGGTCGTTAGCAAAGGCGATGCTCCCGGAAACAAGCCGGAGGACCAATCGGTAGTCGTTGGATTCCCCCGCCTGGCGTAGTGCCGGGACCAAAGCCCGTTCCAGTACTTCCCGCACAGAACAAATGTACCCCGTGGTTGCTGTGTCGTCGTTGTTTGAATCGTCGTCGATGGGCGGAACCTTTTCATCGAAGCCATCGAATCGAACCTCGATGGACGTGGTATGAATTTGAGTATGTTTGCTATCGACAACATTGTTCTGGAGAAAATGTGCAAGAGAACTAGCCGCTTTGTTCCCACCCTTGGAATTTCGAGCCCGTTGTATGTTTTTGACGTAGGACCGCAGAACTTCAATCACCGGTCGGTCGTCAATCGCATCGTCAGTGATTTCAGCGTTGCTGCCACCGGAGAGAACTGCTATTCTTGTGCGATGATTGTCGTGTATCGTGAATCTTTCTCGTCTCCCCCAGGGTTCCCTCGTCCTTGTCGTTTTCGTGGTGGTTCTTCTTGTAATGGAGTGAAACGAGCGGCGGCGGCTTCCCCACTGACCATGCCTGTGGCGATGTGTTGTTAACGATGGCACCAAATACCCATCTACCATTGCGAGACCGAATGGTGTCGCTGATGACAAGAGCGACCACCGAATGATTCCRTTGGCTTTGACGTTGTTCTTGCCTTTGTTCCGCCAGCTCAGGATGCCGAGCAACGTCCAGAAAATTACACTTCGAACCATCGGCCTCTCTCTCTTGTCACGAGGCTTTCTCCGTATTCTTCCTGCCATTGTAAATTATTGCGTATTAGATTTATAAGGATGMTGTTGCTGTTGCGGCAATCAAAAGTGCTCCTGTTGCTGTTGCTGATGGATTCCGTTTTTTCTATTCTATTGTGAGTTTATGAAAGCGCATGTCGTTGCCAGTTGCCAAATACACAGCTACGACAGAACTGTTCATACCTGTAAGTCGTGCGTAGAACGACGTACTCGTAAAAGTAAAATTGTYTTGCTATGATGCTGCCCAACCGTCAGCCCGGGATGGACCCATCATCAGAACCCAATCATCTACTACTATTTCCCAGATTTTTTTCAATTTTCTTGGTTGTTTTCTTGGTTGGAACCTAGGTAACGTGTACGTACGTCGTACGGAAAAGAGTTTATCCTTATCCTCAATAACACTGTGACGACCAGAATCCGCAATCAGAATGAATGTACCGTAGGGTACCGTACGGTATGGCACGTACTCGTACTCGTACTCGTACTCGTACCGCACGGATTATCATCCCCACATTCCTCCACCCTGAAAACGATGCATATGTGAGAGAACATAGGCAATCGAACAAGATCGCTGGCTAGTGCTAGACAGTCGAACAAGCAAAAGAAGGCCCACATCTATTCCGAAMAGGAAGCAAGACATTGTCGCGGCGAAACAAAGCACCCGTCCATTGATCTCCAAACCCATCTTCGCAATACGCCTAGTCTACAGAGGCCCGTGCCCCCAAACCATGATTTTGACAGCAGCCGCGAGTGCACAACGGAGCAGATTTGCACGGGCGATAACAGCGGAGGCTTCTCATCTTTGTCGGTCTCTTTCCGCGTTTGGCGCGAAATTGGATGCTCCGGAAACCCTGGCACAAAGTCCAAGCGATAGCGATCGAAGGTGCTACTCCACATCGCCGCCGCGTTTCAAGATCCATAGCTTTGGCGGAGACGATGGGAAGCCACTCTCGGAAAGGGAAATGAAAGAAATCATCGAAGCAGAAGAGGCAAAAATCCTGGCCGAGCGAGAGGCCAAAACCTATCCGAACTGGAAGCCCGGCGAACGAAAACGACCTCTGATCAAAACCCACAGCGAGGAGGAATTCATGAGAGAGCTTATGCCCGAAAAATTCTTGGACAACCCCATCTGGACGCTGCGGGACAAGCGCTGTGGGGCACTGGCCATCAAGGTCGGAATGATGCCAGTCTGGGACGAGGTTTGGGGCGTTCGGCACCCCACCACTGTGCTCTGGCTGGACCGCAACATCGTCCTCGGGCACAAGACGGTCGAAAAACACGGATACAGCGCAATTCGTGTGGCGGCCGGCGAACGCAAGGCCAAGAACGTCTCCAAGGCCGTCCTCGGACAGTACAAAGASGATCCGCAGCTCTCCGAGTCGCCGCCCTATTTGGTGCGGGAATTCCGAGTCACCGACGACGAACACCTGCTGCCCCTGAACTCGACYATCCACGCGAGGCATTTTGTGCCGGGGCAGAACGTGGACGTTTCCGGCATCTCGAAGGGAAAAGGTTTTCAAGGTGCCATGAAGCGTCACGGTTTTCGCGGTATGCCGGCCAGTCACGGAACGTCCCTGAGCCACCGAGCGCTTGGATCCACGGGCCAGTGCCAGGATCCAGGAAAGGTCTTCAAAGGAAAGAAAATGGCCGGTCGGATGGGAACGGACCGGGTCACCGTCCAGAACCTGCAGATTCTKAAGATCGACCGTGGACGAAATCTGATCTACGTCAAGGGACACGTTCCGGGGCAAAAGGGAGCCTTCGTTGAGATACGAGAYGCCGTCAAGAAACCCCTGTGGAGGACGGACAAGGTCCTCGGATCACTTGAGCGGCCGCCCCTACCGACCTTTGAATACGATTCGGAGATTGATGGGACGGGCGAGTGCTACGAAGAATTCATGCCACTTGGCGATGAAGACCCTCTCGATCCGGATTACATGGACACGACCATTGCCATTAAGGCTCAGGCATAGAAAACAAAATAGCACTGCTTATCTCAATCCGAAATGTGCTGTGTTTTAATCGTAGATTCGGATGTAGTTGGAAGAGCGTGCGACACGTGGTATACGAATAATATAGTATTGGTCGGGATTATTTGAAGAATCGAAACCCATGAGACAACCAAACATAATCGAGAGTTCAGCGAATGCAAACCGAGAACCAAAGATGTTCTGCCATTGTATTTTGCTACATAGGATTGAATTATTCTATTGGGTACGGTACGTTTGATGCTTCCGCGTACGTCCGTTCAAAAATTCCTTTTCCTTGGTCATTATGGAAGACAAAATATGCTGGCCTAATGGTTGGGATGGATTTATTCATAATTCACAAGTGTCAAACACACCGTTATCGTTTAAAAACTGGATTGCCTAATGATTTGTAATGGGTCTGTAACGAAGTACTTTGGGGTACCAAAAAATACTTCCTCGGCCGACTATTCGTRTCCAGTTTGCACCTTCTCTACTGAAATAAGCTCAATGATTGGGCGATTGGAATACTTCTTTTTCAGCATAACAGATTCATATTAGTGCTATAGAGTTTAGTTATTGTCATAAGTCTCGTGCCAGCAGTAAGATTGGAATAAGCCTTGAAACAGAGTAGTTTTCAGTGCATGAATTTCATTTTTCGGGTTGAAAGGGTTCTACCACCAGTCATTTAGCAACTAGCCTTGCATCATTAGACAGCAAAGATAAATTATTTTCATACACTACAATTCATGATGTGATTAAGGAGACCTTTCCTATGTTGGTCATTTCCATGCAAAAGATGTGCTCCTACCATTGACAATAGAGTGCATTCTAATACCGCATGTAAAGAATTAATTAATTTTTATTCACAAGCATGCACAATTTAATCTCCAGTATGTTTATGTATTTTCTACACACCAGTCATTTGTAGAATCCAACTGTCAAAAACTCAAAAAAGTGTCAAGTAAAGTGGGAGACATTCTTTCAGGACCAGCAAATCATAACAGTTCTAATGAGGACACTCATAGTGGACCAAAAGAAGCAACCAATAACTAAATGCACAGTGGTCCTTCCTTCATGAATTTTTGTCACCAGRATTCCAATCTTGGCAAGAGTTCTTTTTTGGTCAGCAGTAGTAGGAGTGAGTGAAGAGATTGCCAATTATTTTCTCTTTGCTCCAAAGTGTGCGGTAATAGAGAAGCAATCCAGAAGCAAAGTAGTATTTGTGTGCAAAAGTTCTCCTGGTGGTGTCAGAAAAAAGTTTTTCTTCTCTTCATGTACATGCTTATGTGCTGTGGTAGGTTTATTAGTTCATAGCACCAGATGCAGAAGAACAGCAAAACKACCTAAAGGCTTGTATCAAGTAACTTGTTGAAGCAGTTATGAGATAGTTATTTCCCAGAATGATGGATTTCAAAGGGGGATGCGCGCGAGTTGGTTCCGGCCTGGAGAAGCGCTCAAGCGCATGTATCGTGCATCGAGTGATCTTCTCTTCGTGAAAATCCGATTACTGTAAAATAAAGTCAGCATATCTGTCAAACTTGAGGCCCGACGCCGGTAAGATTRCAGACGAAGACCATACAGGATCCTTCGACTCACACTAGAGCTGCGTTGGGGTGCATCAATATGTCAATATCGACGGACTTGTCAAGCAGCAACAGCAGTACTTGTGGTTGTAACGCCGAAGTCTTCGAACGAAGTCGACCTTTCCTGTGTTGAAAGATTATCAGACCGAAGCGTCCTGGATTTTCTTGTCCGACACCATGCCATTCTCTCTTTCTCATGAAAAACGAAGCAAGCAAGGGACCTTGTGGGGCATCGCCTTCTCTCCCGAAATAGTTGTGGATGGAGGYTCGACGTACCAGTATTTTGCGACCTGCGGGGGGCAGCATGCGTTCATGTACGAATACCACCGGCACGAATTTCGGCCTTTTCAGAGATACAAATCGTCAAACACAGAGGAGGACTTTTATGCCATTACGTTCGCCCATCGTCGCTTCTCCCACTACAATGAAGCACAGCTACAACACTTCGACGTACAGGAAACAAAACGAATTMTATGTGTCGCTGGTGCCGGTGGAGATATCTTGGTAATCGACGTCGACGAAAACAGAATAGATGGGACCCTGGAAGGAAGCGTTAGTTCTGTGTTYGACCTAAAAGCCATCGATTGTGAACTCAATGGCGTGAGGCACAACCTGCTATGTAGCTCAACGAAAGACGAGGTCCGACTCTGGAACCTGGATACGTTCGCTAACGTGTGYTTGTTTGCCGGATGGCCSGATGGCCACTTCGGCGATGTTCTTTCCGTTGCCTGGCACCCAACCGGATCTTGGATCGTATCGGGGGGCGGGGATGAGCCTAGTGAGAAAAACGCGATCCCCGAGGGCTCCAAAATGAAAGACTTTCAGATCTGTGTTTGGAACGTGCTCRATAGCCCTAGGATACGGGAGGCGATTCAGGCATCCTCGGACCTTCCCAAATTTGCAACGGAACGATCGCAATTCCATGCCCATACCGAGCGGTTCGCCGCTTCGGTCCACAACGATGTTCATTCCTATATAGTGGACTGTGTTGAGTGGCTGGGAMACCTGATTTTGTCGAAATCGGTACACAGCGAAATACTGCTTTGGAAGCCTCTGGTACATGACGATGGTGACTACAGAAAGAGCAGCATCGTTCCAATMAAAAAGTTTCCTTACAAAAAAGGCGATGTTTATTTCGTGAGATTTGCTTTGTCCTTGAACGATCCTGATTCGGACAAATCGTCGTTTCTTGCTGTTGGAAACAGTGTTGGGGAAATTAGTGTRTGGGATCTAAAGCTTAAAACTCTCGACGACAAGCCTGTAAAAATGGCTTCGAAAATTCTTCGAACGAAAAAGTCGAAAACAACAAAACCAAATTCTCTTACGCCAATCAAACGCAGTTTAGCATTTAGTCCGGATGGAGAAGCTCTGGCGGGTTGTGACGAAGGCGGTAGCGTGTTTCTTTGGGAGACGAACAAATTTCGGAAGCAAAAGTCAGCGTGCACTGCGGCGCCAAAGCCGGCGTTGGAACGCACCGCGGTAGCTCCCAAAGCAAGGGATTCTCTAGTTCCTAGCGAGACCGATATGTCRCCAACGAACCGGGCTGTTTCTGTGTTCAAWACTGGGTCATTGCTAACTGTCAACGCTACCGAAATTGTAGCACCAAGTCCTCGACGTTCCTCTTCTGTTGCTGGTACTAGCAGAGGGTTGAAAGAATGGAAAGTAAATCCCGTAACACCCAAGCCTACTGTCAACTGTGAGCCCTCCGCAAACATTGATACGATCGATAGTGCAAAATTTAATGACGCAAAAGCCAGGTCTGTTGTCGACTCTGAGGACTCCCCGAATGTCGGTACGAGTGACAATACAAAACCAAATGGCGGACAAACCATATCTGTTGCGAAAGCCAACCCCTCCATGATTGTGGACACGAGCGGCAATGGAAAACTAAAATCCGCAGGAGCTAGATTTGTTGCTAAATCCACCTCYTCCTCGACTATGGATACGGAGAAAAGTACAATACCAAATTCTGCGGRGGCTAAGTTTATAGCCGATGCAAAAAGAAGTACAAAACCAACAGATCCCGCACRGACCAACTCAGTATCGAAGTCCAGCTCATCCTTGAATGAAAATTCGAAAAGTACAAAACCAACACCTGTGAGGGTTGGACTACTTCTCGACAAACACCAGTCCTCCTCAGGTGCGGATGCGACCAAATCTGCCGCATCAAATTCAGAGAACACTAAGTCTGCTGTTAGCATTCTAGGAGCTGCGCCGTGGATCGATTTGACCGAAGCCACGGCGCCATCTCCCGGTACTAAATCGARTGTCTTTGCCAGTCTTCCGAAGGCTTCCCCTTGTATTGATTTGACGGAAACCACGTCGTCGAATCCAAAGGCCAAGCCCGCTATAAACCTTTCCGATTCAGCGTGTATCGATTTAACCGAAACCCAAACTGCAAAGCCTGAAAATACAAAACCTAATGCTGAACACCAGAGTTCTGGGATAATTGATTTAACCGAAACACCAGCACGAGGTTCTCAAAACACGAAGCCCATACCTACTAATAGACAGAGTAAGCCAGAATGCCCAATCATAGATTTAAGCTAAGCATTTCAATTTTGAAGCTGTTCAAAACAAAGAATAGAAAGAAACTGTCACCTTCTTAGAAGTAGTAATAAAATATTAGTACTAAGCATACAGCTAGTAGTACAACTGCTGACCTTAATGTCTTTCAGAACTAAACCTTCTWGTACTTGTACTAGTACTACTACTAGTATGAATAGTAATAATACTAAGTAGTTGTAGGTTTCATTTATTAGTACTATGGAATCTAGGTCAGGTATTATGTGATGTATGTGTCTAGTAGTACTGTTATTAGTAGTAGTACTAGTGTTGCATTTGATTAAGGTCACACCAGAGTGTTGCTACTATCTATGAATTTGGAGCTTTTGCCCGACATTGAAGACTGCTATTTCTGGTGTTCTCACAAATGTCACTGAATACCCTTGTTGCAGTATTTTTGGGAGTCCAATTCCTTGGTGTTTTGGAGAGAGACAACGAAATTCTTGGTTGCAGCCGCTGACATATCAAATTGTCCCTGGGCTTGTGTGGTTAGATCTGACACGCCAAGGCCAGAAAATCTTGCCAGAAAACCCAGGGAATTGCACAGATTGGTTGTTGTGCCAAAGGAATTGCCAAGCAGGGCTGTCAGAAACTCCTCTGCAATTGCCTTTTCAACAGGTGCAAAGGTAAGTGCCAAATCCAAGGACAACATGCTGGAGATAAGTCCATTCCATCAAGAGGGACTTTGTCAAGCCAGCAAAGGCCATAGCCTGAGGATAGCGGCAGGCCGCCCCAGCACAAAGCCCTAGCAAGAAGGAAAACGCTGTTAACCCATTGATCAATCTGCAGTTGGAGCCAATTGTATTGGACTGCATCAGTGCCAATGAAACCTCCAATGTAACAGTGGTTGTTGCAGAGAAAAAATGAATTCTTGGAGGTTTTGTTGAGRCTTGTTCCAGTGGTCTGTAGGAGGCCCAATGAAAATGTTTTTCATCAGTTCCAGAAAATATCCCTGTTCAGGGCCAAGCTGCAGAAGCAATTGCACGGTTACCACARTTTGGGATACACAGCCATGCATTGTAGCACCATCTGCATACCATGAACCAGTGAAAGCCCATACAATACCATTGGCAGGGGATCCCCCTGAGTGGCTCCTTTAACAGAAAGCAAACGACAGAACATGATTATGGTGAGGATTGATGGGCTTCCTGTAGGATCACTGCCACAAAAACCAGAGGCCTTTCTGAATTCCACTGGCAGAGGCAAATGTCATGCAATTCATTGCAAAATCTTTAAAGAAACATTTTTCCAAGCCATCCCTGTGGAATCAAGTACCATCTAGGGCATAAKTGAACAATGCGTTTTCATCTAGTATGTTGCCAGAGCATATCATCCATAATGTTTCCTGAGAGGTGAGTAGWGGGATTAYCATACACATGATCCCCATAGATTGAATCAAATATTTAATCACTTACAGTAGGCACATTAGAGGGAAGGTCTGCCCCAGCATCAGGAACAGGAAGCTCTGGGAGTGGGTAACCAGTATCCATAGTAGTCACATCAGCAGTAGCCCCAATTGTGTTCTTTGCATTACCTGCATATGCASCAAGCATATCCTCCACAGTCCCCTCATTATGAGCCTCAGGAAGAAAAGGGGCCTCATTCCTCTGCTCTTAATGATGGCTCTGGCACCTAGCTTGGGCCTGCAGGTCCAGATGCCAACATGGGTGCAAGCACAGCTAACACAGGAGCGCAAAACTTCCCAGCATAGTACTTCCTCMATTCATCTATTGTATAGATTTTGGCCCCCTAATTTACAATAGCATGGAAGTTGTCGACAACTTCACATCATGTACTGGAATCTTGGAAAGTACCAAACACTACTATGCAAAGTCAATTTTTTCAAATGATGATAGGGATCAGGAAAAAACATAGCTAGATTATTGTTGTTGCTTGTTTTTTGACACTTAAAAAATCTGTGGATTCATCTGATTGATTAAAGAAAAGGAGGGACTCCAAGGGAAGATTGTCATGGTTGATGACCACATATATGTTGTTGAAAGATCAAAAGCAAAAAGAGCCATCATGTGTACATTCAAGTCTGTAAAACTGAAAAATGGAGACCAGGATTGTGAAAGTATCAAAAGGATACTTTGTTGGATGTGTGGTGGTAGATGCTGCAAATGTTGAACAGACAGAGGTGGTCCTTGAAGAAGGAGATCCAAAAAAGCTATTGCTTTAACTTCTCAAAACACTGTAGCAACAACTAGATTTTGATGTCCACAAAAACATGAATAAAGAATCACCCATCAAACGCAAATAAGTCACAAGGGAATACATTCAACTCAATTCCCAATGAAAAAACTGTTTGCAAATTACAGGGAAGATAATTGGAACATGTGTTGGTTTCAACTTGGTCTTACACAAGAAGCAATTGCTGGATTTATGTTCTTGTTGGGGTTCTTAATTGTAGATGAAAAAGAATCTCAGCACTCCCAAGACACATGATAAATTTTGTTACAAGCCAACAGAAGCAGGAAAAACCGCAACAAGACTTGMCAAAAAACATACACGCCTTGCATAATGTTAATGTCACACTACACATAAAAAAATAAACAATATCTAATGTTGTGGACCAGCAGAGGTGTTAGGGGAGCTAGTACCATTACTTCTTCTTGCTAGTAGGAGGAGAAGGTTGCTTCTAGTACTAGTAGTCATTGTGAGGGAGAGTACTCCTGGAGGAKCAAAACTGACATAGTTGTAGTACATCTGTACTACCAAGGTATGCTGGAATTATTTTATGTATTGTTGTTGTCTCTTTTGGTTGTTTGCTACAATTCTTAGTCAGAAATTGTGCTGGAGGGAAGTACCAACAAGCAATCAGATTGGTATTGGTGGTAGAAATTGTAGTATTGTCTTGAATGCTAGTGGCTTCAGTTGGACAAGTTTGGTGGGTGGAGAGAAACAAGTCTCTAACTCTCTTCTTTGCTCACCATGCTTTGTGGAAGGCCTGCTGATGGGAAATAGTTTGATCATTGAATTCTTCATTACTTGGATCTATGAGGACAAGAGCAATATATGTGCATAAAAAGATTTCAATTAAGGAGGCTCCAGATGCCAGGAAAGTCAGCTGGTATAAGAACAGTGGAGGATATGGATACTGTCTTTCTGGTGGGAACAGAGACAGCATGAGACAYGAAATTGATACTTCCATTGTTTGACAACTGTAGCACCATCAGTTGGCCAGCAGATGCCATTCCAAAGCCTTGTGACAAAGCATCCCTATCAAGGCAACAACTTCCAAACTACAACAACAATATTGAGAACCTTGGTGCTTGTCCACTCATTGGTACTAAAATTGTACCTACCTCTGATCTTACTACAAATATCACAGCAAGCATGGAAAGTTACAATCATTTTTCTTAGCATCATATTTTCCTCAATGTCACTTATGCTAAGAAGCCAAAACTATGAATATGGCAAGCCACCGCCTTTTGCAATTGTATATGGATTACTGACAGCAGGTAATTGCCCACAACAGCTAACAAAATCAAAATTACTACTACTGGAACTGCCTCTTTTTTCAATAGAAAGAGGGGCAAATAAATGTTTGTTTCCATAGGATAGGTGTCCACAAAGCATCCAGGTTKTAAAAATTCTAAATATTATTTCTTATCTTCATCAACTAGAAGAGGCACAAGAAAGTGTGCCAGGACCATTGCTTCTGACAAGAATAATGCTCCTAGTCATTCCAAGGAGCACCATCTCCCCCCAAKAAGGATGATTGGTGGAGGCACAATCATTTATAGGGGCTGGCTGGTTGGGTTGGTGTTAGTAGGTGAAAAACTGTGTCATTGTGGTTTGTTGTGTTTGTGCTGCAGTACTAGTAGCAGAGGCCAAAGAAGTCTCTGGTAAAGTAGACTGTTTGTATCTTTTCTTCTTGGAGTACACACCAAAGACCAGCTAGTCTTGTGTACTGCTTTCCTGTAGGTGTTTACTGTGAGGCAAGGATGGAAAATATTGGGTYATAGGATGTGTTTTTAAGACAGAAGACATGAGTGAGTCAGTACACATACTTGCAAGAATTGTGTTGTTGTACTGTTTGGATGTAGTGTGACAACAAAGTAAATATTAGTAGTAGTAGTTTGAGACAAAAAGGTTTCAGGTTTTGGACAATAAATAAGCATGTGAGGGACAAGCCTGTGGTTGTAGGGCAAACAGTTGCAGACTTTTATTGTCAACTTCCTTTGTTATAGCAGTGCTTGTTTCTGGTGGGACATKATTGCACTAAAAGATACTGATGTTAATATTAACAGAGTGAAGAAAAGCAGTCATTTGATACATTGAATGAGCATCCCAATTGACACAACATCATATCATAATTTCAATGCTAATTTACCTATTGTTGTTTGTACGTGACTTCAATCAACTCAAACTTGTGGGAGGAGACTTCCTCTTGATGATTTTTAAATGGTGGAGCCATATGRTGTAGCTATATTATTCAAGTCAATGAAACAAAAATGGGTGCTGGGATTGTGAAGCCATTAACATTAACAGATATTTTGTTCAATGAGGAGTAGATGATGAGATGGTTGTTGAATAGATAAGTGCACTCAAAAAGAGTTCAAACAGAGTGATCACTWCAATTTCTCAAAACATTGCACAGCAACTGTAGCAGCTAATGCTACAAAATCTTGATATCCTCAAGAATAGTATGAACAAAAAAATAGCCATCCCCAAACTCAAACAAGTGACACTGCTGGAGTGCACTTAATTCAATTCCCAACAATACTACTACCTCCCTTCCACAATAATAGGTCAATATGCACCTCTTGGGTTGGAATAAGCTCAATTTTTGGGCAATYGGAATGCTTGTTTTTGCATTAAACAGATCTATTGCACTGGTATACAGTTGTGTTAATTGCAATAAGTTTATAGCATTGGTGCACTCTTTATAGCTATTCAAAGAGGCCCAATTTTGGCATATAAATGTGATTTTACCGTCAGTTGGGTTCTACTGGTCCCTTAAGGGCCAAACTGGTTTATTTGAAAAGCCCAGACTGAGAGCTTTATCATGGTATACTTATCGTACTTATTGACAATATTTCATGCAGTCTTTAGAGGGTCACTAGACAGAGCAAAAAACTGCTCGGGCCTATTTGGGCCTGTGCAGTTTTTTTTTCAATTTTGAGATGGAGAACCGCTTCGAAGAGAAAAAAAGTGCTGTGCGCATGGTTCAAAAATGCTCCCCGTGTTATTTTCACATTTTATTTTTCACTTTTGATTCCATTACACCTCCCAATTTCCTCTTTTTGATGCTCTTCTCATTCTCTTCTTTTCCATTCAACTGACTAAGACTGCCTTCTTTGCTATTCAAGCCTTCTTTGCACCTCAAGTGACTCATTGACGTTGTGCCTATACGCCTCCACTACTATGCGCCTCCACAGCTCCTGTCTCCGTTGCTTCCACTAAGAGGGAATCGCGCCTCCGGTGATTCCACTCCACTCCTCGGCTCGCATCTCCGTTGCTTCTAATGAGAAGCGCAGGGGGGGGGGGAACATGTCTCCGTTGCTTTCAACAACGCGGGAAGCAAAGCCTCGCACCTCCATTGCTTCCCGCGTTGCAAAGCAAAGCCTCCATTGCTTCCACTAATAAGAATGTCTCGCGTCTCCGTTGCTTCCACTAATAGGGGATCCTTTTTTGCTTGAACCGGTTGGCAAGACACCATCAAAGCAGCATATCAAGAAGGTGATGTTTCTATGTGCAACAGCAAGGCCCAGATTTGATCATGGTAGGAATGCTTGGTTTGATGGCAAGCTTGGTATCTGGCCTATTGTGGAATACAGACCAGCACAGAGATTTTCTGTGAATTGCCCCAGAGGTATGATCAAATCCCACCCTATCAACGTCAACGAAGAAGTGTACAGGAAGCTTATGATTGAAAAAGTTCTTCCAGCTATTTACGAGAAGTTCCCCAGAGACAACGGTGTTCTTCCAAATTGCATTATMCAGGAAGACATTGCTAAGCCTCATACGCTCAACACCAGAGCAGCTGTGACAGCTGCGGCTTGTGAGAGAAACTGGAATATTGTTGTGAAGCCCCAACCACCTAACAGTCCTGACTTTAATGTTCTTGATTTGGGTTTCTTCAATTCTATTCAGAGCCTTCAGCACAAGAAGTGGTCTTCAAACATGGACACATTGATTGCTAATGTGATTGCTGCTTTTGAAGAATCCAAACGTGAGACTCTAAACAAGGTATTTTTGTCACTACAGTGTGCAATGGAGGAGTCACTTGGTGTTGGTGGTGACAACACTTACAAGATTCCACACCTTGGGAAAGAAAAGCTTATACATCAAGGGGAGCTTCCAGTATTGATCATTTGCAACCAAGAAAAGATTGCCTTTGCACGTTCAGTACTGGCAGACTTCAACAACAGTACCACCAATACTGGTAATTAGTGCTGTATTGCTTGTAATAGTAATAGTAGTAATAGTAATAGTAATAGTCTTAAATACAAATGATAATACAATAGTTGTAGTACATGTAGTACTTATTCTACACATTCTATAGGGCCATTCCATACTGGACAATTATTTTGGAAAAAATAGAGTACTGCATAGTATTGACCTATTATTGTGGAACGGAGGTAGTAGTAAATATTACTGAACAAGAATTGTTCACAAATTAAAAGGAAGATATTTAGGAAATGGATTGGTTGCAGCCTGGTCTTACACAAGCAATTAGATTTATGTTGTGCTTTCAATAGTTCTTGTTTGTAGTGGTAGTACTACTACTACACCACAAAATTCCACTGGTGCTGGTGCTGGTCCTCCTCTGTTTGCTTGTACTACTGACAACTACACTTCTCTCCACAAGAAAGAACACTACCAACAATAATCACCATAGCTACTAGCTAGGCAACAAATCAATAACTCAATCATTCCTATTTTAGAAACAAAAAATGTGGGAGTGACTGTCCTAAAAG